AAATCACAGCTTCATTGCGATGTTACGAAACTTCATTGGGTGGCATTGGGTATGTGAACACACACACAAAAAAATTGAGGTCATGATCCGAGCAGGCTATAAGTGGTCGTAAAAAAAATAGTCACACTTGTGCTCTTCGGTCCAAAATGACCGACCATGAATGGGAAATTGACAAAAACACAAAAACTTTGAGAATTTTTGTGTGTACAATCTACAAATCGGCCACGATGCAGGAAAAAAGTGCTCAGCATTGAAAGGGTGACACTCATCACTCTTACAAACACACTTTTATACACATACACACCAATAAATTTTGATTACAAAAAGTATGTTTTGAATTTTTAAAAATCACAGCTTCATCGCAATGCTACGAAACTTGGTGATTTTTATGGCATTATGTATGTGAACACGTAAAAAAATTGAGGTCATGATCTGAGCATAGCATATTTTGTGACTAATTTTTCCCGTGTCTTAAAATGTTTTAAATGTTTCATGAAGTATAAATGCGAAATATAAATAGTTTTTTAATCACTCTCATTGCCACAATGTGTTTTGAAAAAAGGAAAGAAATCTTGTCGATTTGGTTGAAGATAATATTTTAACAGGGCAAAAGTGGTCCACGTTTTATGATCCTAATAACGAAGATGTGACGCAAAGTCAAGTGGTTGTTTATGCGAAGTTCTAACTGTTTACAATTAAATAAAGGCAATCAGATATGATTGTATTGTTTTACTGTTTTTTCTTGGGTTAAAAATAAATATGTGTTTTATCATGTTTGTTTTGTCCATATGTGCTACCATGTAGGTCAGCTGCTACAATGAATTTTATTTATTTATTTTTTTGCCCCCCGGTGGCTCGAATGTCAAACTCCGCCTATGATCAAAAGATGTTTAAAAATGATTTATTTTTTAAAAAAAGAAAGAAAACCCACATTTGAGGTGGGACGAATAATTGATAAAACAATACATTGCAATATGGTCAGTGTCTTGCAATGCACGGACTGCAGCTTACTTTACTGTATACCAAGCATTTCGGTTCTTGCAGCTAAGAGTCAGTTTAATCAACTCTATTATGTTCACAGTAAATGTTAAACCCGTGCGAGTGCGATTCAAAAGCATACAGCTGTGTGTTCTCTAATCGTTCTCGATCATCACTTTACATCACACTCATACACACTCAGACTGTAGTGTTGTTTTCTGTCCAGCAGGCGGAGGTATACACACTCATACTGTGGTGTTGTTATTATCGAGCTCTACCCGCGCTCGCAGATCGACATCTACGTCAAGGTGTGTGTGTGCAGTGTCCAGAGTTTGCGCTCATGTTAGCCTCATCTTCCACTGCAAAATCCAAAAGCAAATCCCTTCCTTTGATCCAGTTATTAGTTCAAAAGATGAATGAAGAGGCGACCTTATAAAATTAGTCAATAATGTGAGTTTATTACAGTAGTAGATCAATGCTAAATTTTAGTTACATTGTGTGTGTAAATGAACAGGTTTGGACTCTGAAACCCAAAGCACAGACAATAGAGACACCAGAATAACAATATTCATGATTGTGAAATTATATTTATCATATAAATACAGGATTACTTTAGTTGAATATAATTGGGTTCTTTCACTGACTTAATATAATATAATAATAACTAATGTAGGACACTTTTTACACATTTCTTCATTGCATTATTATACATTATATTCAACATTATAGCATGCAAAGGCCTCAGTAAAGTGCTGGACGGCGTCGTGCGTCAGCATCTGGAGGAGGTCTCGCTTCTTACCAGCGAGTGAAAACCTCCCGCCAACTCTACAGACTGGAGAATGAAGCCTAACCACAAGAAAGGCTCTGGAAGAAACAGCAGAAAGAATCTCTATAACAAAAAACACAAAAATTTGGTACAATCAATTCTCAGTTTTGGAAGAAATGTAATAAAAAGTTGTTGTTTTTTTTGGTATGTTTCTAAATAGTTCAACTCTATTTTTCTCTGTTGTGTTGTTTTAAGAAATCAAACATTCAGGTAATAATAATTTATTCATAATTAAAACATTTACCGTCTTAACAATGTCGGATTAGAGCAGACTAGAGTTCTTCAGCAACACTTTTTGGTGCTAAATAGAATAATTTTTCATTAAAATTCCATAAAGAACCATTATTTAAAGAACCTTTTAACCCTCAGGTGCTCTTCGTTTCGGAGTCACACTTGTCATCTTCCCGTGACCGGACACCTAAAAATTTAATTTCCAATTCCAATGCAATTTATTTTTGTTCTATAATATTTATTCTTTTAAATATAGTATTTTGAGACAATTTTATTGAATTTATTAATATTTATGCAATATTTATGGTCTATTTTTGCCATGGAAATATATATATATATATATATATATATATATATTATTTTTTTCAAAAAATTATTAATGCAGGCCTTCAGAAAAAAAAAAAAATATTTTTTGAAGAAAATTAACACTATCTGGTTACAGTATAGAGAAAAAGCGTAGAATCATGGTGTAACCACTAGATGGCATGTACAGCTCTCTATGAAGAGGCATGTGAATTCCCCAGATGTTTATGAACACATTTTTTTTTTTAATATATAGTTGAAACAATCTCAAAAACGATTTTTTTATTAAAAAAATGTAAAAAAAAAAATGTGAATTTTGTGTTTTTGTCAATTTCCCATTCATTTCCTATGGGGGTCATTTTTGACCAAAGACCACAAGTGTGACTATTTTTTTAAGACCACTTAGCATGCTCAGATCATGACCTCAATTTTTTTGTGTGTTCACATACATAATGCCATAAAAGTCACCAAGTTTCGTAACATCGCGATGAAGATGTGATTTTTAAAAATTCACAACGTACTTTTTGTAATCAAAATGTATTGGTGTGTATGTGTATAAAAGTGTGTTTTTTTATGTGTGTGTGTGGGTGGGTTTGTCTGTTTTGCACTCTAGATGTTGTAGAGTGTCACCCCTTTCCTGCGGTATACTTTTTTTTTTTAATTGTGGCTGATTTGTAGATTGCACGTACAAAAATTCAGAGATTTTTTTTTTTTTTTTTTTTTTTTTGTCAATTTCCCATTCATTTCCTATGGGTCAGTCATTTTTGACAGAAGAGTAAAAGTGTCACTAATTTTTTTACGACCACTTAAATTGCTTGAATCATGACCTCAATTTTTTTTTGTGTTCACATACCCAATGCCATAAAAGTCACCAAGTTTCGTAACATCGCAGTGAAGCTGTGATTTTTAAAAATTCAAAACATACTTTTTGTAATCAAAATTTATTGGTGTGTAAGTGTATAAAAGTGTGTTTGTATGTGTGTGTGTGTTGGTGGGTTTGTCTGTTTTGCACTCTAGATGTTGTAGAGTGTCACCCCTTTCCTGCGGTGTACTTTTTTTTTTTTAAATTGTGGCTTATTTGTAGATTGAACATACAAAAATTCAGAGATTTTTTTTTTTTTGTCAATTTCCCATTCATTTCCTATGGGTCGGTCACCACACCGTGACTATTTGTTTTTTACGACCACTTAGCCTGCTCGGATCATGACCTCAATTTTTTTTTTTTTTTTTTTGTATTCACATACATAATGCCATAAAAGTGCCAATCTATCAGCCTATCTTGGCATTTTATGAAAAAAGAAACATCTTGACACTATTATAAAAGTGATGATAATTTACTCACCCCCATATCATCCAAGATGTCCATGTCTTTCTTTCCTCAGTCGAAAAGAAATTAAGGATTTTGATGAAAACATTCCAGGATTTTCTCCATATAATGGACTTCAATGGGGTCCAAACGGTTCAAGGTCAAAAAGACAGAACTATAAACTGTTCAAAGGGCTTTAAACGATTCCAGACGATGAATAAGGGTCTTATCAAGCGAAACGATCGCTCATTTAATAAATAAATAACAAAGTTTAAGTTTAAGCTCCAATGCTCGCCTTGCTCTGTTCTGTGATGCACGTTCGTGACTCTCCTGTTCGAACTCGTTCATCAAAATGAACAAATCTTTTTCCGAATCAATTCGTTCGTTTCGTTTGTTGAATGAACCAAATGACTCGGGAAAAAGATCAGTTCATTTTGATGAACGAGTGGTGAAAAGCTTGTGATGGGCGAGTCCTCATCTGACTCTTCGGTGTCCCCTAGGGGTCAATGTTGGGCCCTAATTCAACTTGTACATGACTTAAGTGTGTGGGTTTTTTTTTTGCAGATGACACCAACATATTGTATTGTGATGACAATTATGATAAGGTTATTTAAGTTGTAAATACTGAACTAAACAATATACAAAAATATTTCTGGATAGCAATAAATTATCTTTAAACTTTAATAAAACTAAAGCCATGATATTTGGTAATTATATAAAATATTATTTTTTAAGAATATTCTTTCTTGTTAACTGTAACACAGACCAGGGTGGGCCTAAATAAACCCCACTTCTTCCCACTCCGTTTCGAGCGATTGATTGATTTATGTTGTTAAAAATCAAATGCTTCTCATTGCCTTTGTTGTTATATGTCAACTATATTGCTTGAAATAAAAATTCTAATTCAATTCAACATGTAATAACTATAAATTATGCATAATTACAAGCAACTAACCCTAAACCAAACCACAACCCTAACCCTATAGAAGTACATTGCTATATTAGCCTACAGGACCAGGCTAAAACAACTCCTTAAAATAAAAGGTGTTCCTGTTACAGTAGCTATAATCATTAAGTACTGTGAAATAATAATTAACTACATTTGGGTAAATTGGTTTAGTTGCTTGTATAATTTATAGTTACACATGTGTAACGAACACTGTAAATAAAATGTTACCAAAAATAAAGTGTAACCTTGCCAAACAAACAAATTGAGAATCCTGAAATAAGGTAGGCCTATATGAGCATTGAGAGAAGTGATCCGCAGTGATTTGCCCATGAAACAGCACAATCAATGCAGATATTATATTACACATTGGGCAAATATTGTGACGTGTGCGCCTCTCTGCGTCAGATGAGGAAGTCGGAGATCCCGGTAGTTCCCCTTTACTTTAGAGAACTATCCGATAGTTCAGTTACAACAGAAGTACTGAGTTCGTGCCTCGCCAGCGCATGCTTGTAAAAGTCTATCATATAAATAGTCTTTGATTGTTTTCCCGTATTTGACGTGGAAATACGAGTCCATATTCTCTTGGCGGAACTAGAGAACCCAGAAGAAGAGGTGAAGACAACGGAGGATGGAGGCTACTCACCTGACGGAGGACGAAATGGCCGATATAAAGAAGGAAGTGAGTAGCGATCCTGTCTGTCAAAGTGTGCGTTTAACAGATTGTCTGTGAACATGTTTGCGAGTTTGGCAGATTTTGCGTCCGATAAAGTGGAAGTGAAAGCGGTGTGAGTGAGGCGGTTGGTCGCTGATCATAAAACCCATCGAAATATGTTTGAGTAACTTATATTCATTGGGTTTCTGCAATGAGCTGTAAACACTAACCACACTTGAAGTTTCAGGTAGACTTGGCCTACGCGATAAACATGAGACATTTTTAAAGTCAGTGTGTAATGACTCAAAAACAAAAGTTACCATTTATTTCTATGAGTATCTCTCCTGCTTCGTTTACTTAACCTAGTGAGAAATCTAATCACTTGTCTGAGTAAACATGTGTTCCTGTGATTTGGTCATATTTCACTCCCCAGACTTTTCAAATTTCATATATCATAAAATGATGCCTTATTTATATCCTACACTAGTCATTTTGTCATGTCTCTGAAACTGAATTTTTACAATGGAAAATGTAACAAAATGTGCACAGTGTGATTGTCTAATTAATTTTTTTTGTCAATATTGTTAGCCTAGTATTTTATTTGTGTTACTTTCTTGTGATTTTTTCCCTCCTAAAAAATGCAAGATATATTTGTCCCTCAGTTTGACCTCAATCCTGTCACGCCGAACATAACACGCTATTTTAATTATTTAGACTTGACCCATACGGCTGTGACATCATTTCCTGGAAATGACATCATTCAGGTGCTGCAGAACTATATACTATGGTAACTAGTATCATACTTGTGTATTTTAGTCAGGCTTAACAACTCAACCCCGTCACATAAAATATAGATGGTAAAATATTATTTTAAGTAGGCCTATATGCAATGTACTCATTTCACTGCTGCCATACGGTATACTCTGCTACACTATAGAGAAGCGGGGGCCATTTTGAGCAAAAAAACTCAACGATTTGTGGTTGTCATGTTCAAGCTCAAACCATGAAAACTCATAATTTTGTTGTAAAATATTTGATGTGTCCACTTATGTCAGGAATAGCCTCCTGGGTTAGTGACATCTCAAACCCTAAAATTAGCAAAAAAAAAACCCACCCATGGGAACACGAGATATAGAAGACCATGGCAGAATATGTTAATCAAGGACTAGAAGATAACATAAATTCATCAACTCACAATTCAGAAATGTCCTGTCTTCTTGAGTCTCTCCATATTTGTCTGACTCTGGTTTGAACTTAAAAGGCTAAAGTTTTTGAGATTTTGTGTGTGTGAGGTAATCGGAGCTGCTAACACACAAACACGCACACAAGCTCTTGTAGCTCCGCCCCCCGGAGCAGCAGCTCATTTGCATTTAAAGGGACAGATACAAAAACGGTGTTTTTGCGCACCCTCAAAAAATGACAATTTTAACCTGCTATATAACAATATCTGTGAGGTATTTTGAGCTAAAACTTCACATACACACTCTGGGGACATCAGAGACTTATTTTACATCTTGTGAAAAGGGCATTATTATACCACTCATTTAATTCTGATGTTCATATTGCACCAAATGCGACACTGCACTCGGGGTTAGCATGTGTACATATAGTGCACAATGTTGATTTCTACCAAAGCTTCAAAGCTCAAAAAAAGGTATTTGGCCCAGCCCTAGATTTTGGACATACCTCTTGGTTTACGTAATATTTTTCAGAAGCAGGGATGGTGTTTTTTCAGCTCCTGTCCTCAGGATACCAGAATGTTTTAGATTTGTTTCACACTGATTAAAACACACCACTTCATAGAACATACTATTTTAAAATATCATTGTGATTGGTCGAGCGCTTTGAGTGTGTTTGGGAAAGTCCCGCCCCTTTCCATAACCGCCAGTTTAACACACTACTAGCTAACGCAACCAGGCCCCGCCCCTTTATTCTGCGCATGAATTATTATAATGAGGAATATTGTGTTCGTTTCTGGAAGAAACTCATGACATGAATGAGATTGTAAGTATTTCACTCCTGCTCTTTTTCACGGCAGGCCATAGACCGGTTACGGCCATACCTGGTGGATAAGATCATTGCTGAGCGGCACTTTGATTACCTGCGCTCGAAGAAGATCCTGACCCGAGAAGACACGGAGGAGATCAGCTGCAGAACCACCCGAGGGAAACGCACCAGCAAACTGCTGGACATCCTGGCGGAGAACCCGCGCGGCCTGGACGTGCTGATCGAGTCCATCAAGTGGGGCCGGACACTCAACTTCATCATCGCCAAGATCACAGACGAGGTGCAGCGCGTCAAGAACGAGCGCCTGGAGGCTTTAAAAGGTACAAAAGAACATTACCTAAAGGGTTGGTGGTGTCGAGTGGAAACCACGTATCTTCATGTTTCGTCATTTGGATTTGTTTTTTATTAATCCATTGATCACCCTGTAGGTTTTCAAATATCTAACAAAAAAAAAAAGGGGTTTGACTTAACCCTGTAACCCCATTGGCTCCTCCAACTGTCAATCAAACCTCTTAACTCCGTCTCTGCTTGTTTGCAATGCGAGGGTGAATAAAGAACTGGATAAATACAACGTTTTATCTACTGTAGAAAACTTTAAGCTGTTTTAAAATATGTCAGTGCCATTGTTTTGTCTAAAGATGCCTAATCCTGGCTTAATCTAAGCCCTGTTTGTGAAACCAGGCTAATATATACAGTATATCAAGGCTAATTCCTTATGTATTTGAGGAGCTTAGTGTCTTAGTTGAGTGGTCTGACCAATATATATGTTATATATATATATCCAAGTCTTAGTCGAGTGAAAAAGTCGAGTCTGTAAAATCTTAATAATATTGTTGTTAATAATACACAGTGTCTGACCATATATTTAAATCCATAATATCAACTTTGTTCAATTATTTTAAAAAGTGTTTTGATTGTTTTTATTCGTTGAAAAGTAGCATATAAGTATAAACTATAAAAATGTTTCCTCATTTTCTATTAGATGAAAGTACACGCCACTTTCCACCCTCAGAGGCCGTTTACACTGCTATTAGGATGAGTGTAGGTTATTTTGACCACATGTTGTCAGGCGTGACATCATGCTTTTATCACTAAAGAGGTTAGTAAAGTTATTTTCTGCACCAAGAACACTATATAATAATTGTCAACCCTCATTCTGATCCTCATCTTGCGATTGCGGTCACCTTTAAGAGTTGTCGGTAAACGCCGTCTGATACTGTTAGAAATAAACCCACTTGTGCAGAGACACGAACACACGTAATCACACCAAATTATAAAAAACATCACCTCGTCCTCTTATCATGGAAGCAAATCATCTGCTAGGCATCAGAAAAGCCTTCATATAAACATGATCCCATTGATATTGACTTTGTCCTGCGATATTTACATGCGTTGTCAAGTTACTTCTTGGATAAGTTTCAGTTCTGCCTTTAACTTAAAGAATACGGCTTCGTCAACCACGGACACTGGACTCATCTCAAACATAAAGTTGATTTGCAGTCTGTTGATTCATATCACTATAGATTGGAACAGATGAACTTGGTTTGCAGTCTTAAAACAGTCATCCCTTTAGTAGAAAAGGTCAAGCTCAAATTAGACTGATAACCGTTAAGAAGAAAGGAGAATACAGTTCTTAAAGGAGTAGTTCACTTTAAAATAAACTTTAGCTGATAATTTACTCACCCCCATGTCATCCAAGATGTCCATGTCTTTCTTTCTTCAGTCGAAATTAAAGTTTTTGATAAAGATTTTCTCCATATAATGGACTTCAATGGGGTCCAAACGGTTCAAGGTCCAAAAGACAGTTTCAGTGCAAACTGCAAACTATTCAACGACACCAGACGATGAATAAGGGTCTTATCAAGCGATACGATCGCTCATTTAATAAATAAATAACAAAGTTTAAGTTTTATAAGCTCGCCTTGCTCTGTTCTGTGATGCGCGTTCGTGACTCTCCTGTTAAGGGCAAGCTCAAAATGTGTTGGACCCCATGCACTTCTGTGTTTATCACTGTCCACTTGGGATTGGATCGACCAATATTAACTCATTTCAAGTGCAGCGGATGGATCTTGTTAATAAATATCATGTATCATCATACCCCCCTTCAGTGAAGTATGGCCACCAGCTCACGCTCCCAATACAACATCTGGCCCTATTTACATTCGCCTGTTTGCAAGTTAAACATTAATAAAAGACGAGCGGATGCTGATGGAAACAGTGAGTCGAAAAACACCTTCAGGCTTTTGTTGTTGTTGGCCACAGGGATGAAGTATTTGGCTCTTTGTGACTCGTATAGTGTGAGGAGGAAAAAACACCTCAGATTTCATTCTATATCTGCCAATAATGTCATAAGATGATATTTAAATGCTTAGTTTTATAATCAAAGTCTACTTTGAAAACGTAATGTAATGCTTAAGGATAATTGAGAGATGAACGGATAAACCGTGTGTGTGACTCGCCGTTTCTCATTTCACATGCAAAGGGTTTTTATTGTCGGCCTGAAACAGAAGTTGTGCTCGTCTTCTCTTCTCTATATCTGAGTGAAGCGCTTCTGGAACAACAACAACACATGTGGGCGGGGCTTGATTGTGTCCGTTAGGGATTGATTGCATGGTTGTGGTTTGCTATTGGCTGATCTCATGTGATTGACAGGTTATAGCCCCGCCCACATCATCAACAGGAATTAGGGATGCAACGAAACGAAAATTCGGGTTGCACTTGGCCGAAAACATGACATAAATAAATAATCAATTAATAACTTGGTTTGCTGGCAGAATTATTTTAACCCTTATGCTGCATTAGGGACATTTTTTGGTCTTTTGCAGTTTAATTTCTTTGACCATTTTGGCTGTTTTAATGCAAATGGTATGAAATTTGGCAAAATTGTGACTTTTTGGATACATGTAAAAAATGTGATCCCATTTTGCAAAATATGTATAACACACACTGTGTAGATCAAATAGTAACACTCAGCACCATAAAGACCAAAAATGGCCCATTGAAACTCATTAAAACGTTGTTTAAATCTGAGGCTGTCAGTAATACATGAAACATGATTTTTGCACAAACATCCTTTCATTTTGAAGCAAAAGCATTATATTTGCATTATATAGTGATGACGTCACTACATATTTATTCCCTATGGGTGGAAATGCACCTTATTTTAGGCAATAGGCAATGTTTAATAGGTGGCCATTTTTGGTCTGGGATTTTTTGCAAAGTGGGACTGTGATAATCCAAATCTAAAGTTTTCTCTTTGCATTTAGTTTATTGAAAATAATTGAATTTTTGTGTTTTTTCCTCTTATACAAATCGATGGTTTCGCAAACAAAACTGGTAATTAAAGGGTTAAAATCCTGAAATTGAATACATTTTTGGTAGTTATGATGAGGACTGATGCTGGTTAAAAGATTTAACTTGGTAAAAGTGGAAAATAATAATAATATATAATATTTTAGGCAATGTTTAATATGTGGCCATTTTTGGTCCTTAATGCACTCAACGGTGTTAAAAATATAATGCAGCACAAGGGTTAACATACATCAGAAAATGAAGACATCACTAACAGATTAATTACAAATATAGAGTAATATGTAAGAGTTTATGGACATTGAGGTAAATGTGAGGTTAAGTGACAGTGTAGAGCCTAGAATCTGTTTTATTGATGTCTTCCCCTGTTGAAACACTGATTGAGTTTTATCATTCAGTTTATGTTTATTTGCTGTAGTAAAGACGAAGATCAGTTCAACTGAGACGAATTTTGTTGAAAGTTGAGACTTTGCTTCATATTAAAGTAAAAAAGCACAAATGTTTAGTGTTTTTGTTCACACACCCACAGGAAATGGCACAGACTAATAATAATTGTTTTACACGAAACACCACAAGTTCTCCTGTCAACTATAACTGTGGTAACAGATCATCGCCAACCCCGTAAACGTCACGCACAGGTCCATGGTGTCAGAAAACTTAGCCTATTAACAAACACTGCATCATTTTATAGTTAAATGGGCCTGGGGTTAAAAATTGCTGTTTCAATGGGGACCAAAAGGTCCTGAGTGGAACTATTTTGTGTTCCCAGTGCAAAATAGATTTATTAAAGGAAATGAGGGCGAAATATAAAAATTCTAATGCAAATACACACCTGTGCCAATGTATGCAGTTGGCGGTAATGCAAAATCATCACAAATGTACAAGGGGTCAACTTTAAGATTTATAAAGCATTTGTAATACACATAAATGTCTCACAGCTGGCACATTATTTTAACTACATAACGAGACTGTTACGTCTGAACTGTTAAAATCTTGCTTTCATTTTAAGCAGATCTTTAAATTGTCCATTTCATGACCCGTTGACTGGTTAATAAAAGAAGTGGCTTTTAATTCACAAGTAATATCCATAACTGATGAACTGTATTTTGGTTTCTTGGTTTTCTTAGTGTTTTTTTGGCGATATTAACCCCATATGTTGATGTTTTTGCAGCGGGGTCCTCGGCTAATTCAACTTATTCATGCACAAAAAGTGCAACCAATGACTTCTCCAAAATGGACTTGGACTATGACAAGTACTCCACCATCTGCTATCACCCCGAGGGAGAGGCGAGCACGTCGGCCTCGGTGGCGACGGGGTCCTTTAACCTGCGCTACGGGTCGTGTCGCGGGAGCGAGGCGGTGTCGGTGTGTGGCGGCGGCGTGAGCGTGTCGTCCACCGTCTCGTCCAGTCTGCCCAAACCCGGAGACCCGGGAGCGCCGGCCGTGCCCGAGGAGCCGGAGGACGCCGTGGTCTGTGGGAGCGCCGGGAGCAGCGGAGACGCCAACTTCCAGCCGCTGCGCTCGCGCTCTTTGTCTCCGCACACCTCGTAGCTTTCACCAATCCAAGCACAGGCACACTTTTACAAAAAAAGTTTTAAACTTACTTAAATAAAATGAGTCAAAGCAACACAATTGCTGTATTTCTCCTGCTTAACTCCTTCCCCGCCATTGACGAGTTTTTCCCACAATCCTCCATCTCCAGATCCAAATCTGTGTAAAGCAGGAGGAGTGGATCCGAGCTGACGTCATCCAATCAAAGCTGCCACTGGGTGTAGTGTTGATGAACTCCATCGAGTCCTCGGCGAAGGACACTGTTCGTTTAATGGTTATCGAAGTGAGAGAAAATATTGAACGTTTGTGAATATAATCAGACATGCTCTGGAAACTGAACAATGAAACACTGGTGGGGAAGTAGTTAAAAACTGAAGTTGGGTCTACCAAACTCATTAACTCAAACTGAGCAGTCGATGTTAAGCTCCCAGCATGCTTTGCTTTGGATCAGGAGTTTGACATTTAACAGTGTGTGTGTGTGTGTGTGGTCTCCTTGTTGTGCTACAGAGTAAAGTGTGTGTGGGTGGCTATGAGTAAAGTGTGTAAGATGCTCCACTCGATGAGCAATATCTGTACTTACAGAAGATAATGTACAGCAATAAACAGTTCATATTTCTCATTGTTCTGTAATGTATTGGCTAATGTTAGGTTATAATAACTGTTAAATGTATTTTACTCATCACATGGGATAAAGTCTACTTAAAACAAAATAAATGACCTGTTTTATCGACGATTCTGTACAATTATTAAGAAGACCTATTATACTTGTATTGTTTGTTGATTATTCTCCTCATATTCTCCATTGTTGCGGCTCCTCTGTCAGTTACTTCCTGTCTCTATGAAGCCGCTCCTCCTGAAAGCACACTGTGCTCTGATTGGTCGGCTGGAGCAGTGTGTTGTGATTAGTCGAGCGCTTCGTGTGTGAGTGAGAAATGTCCCGCCCCTTTTCATAACCGCCAGTTTAACACATAATTACTAACTCAACCAGGCCCCGCCCCTTTATTCTGCGCATTAATTATTATAATGAGGAATATTCCGTTTCCAGAAGAAACTCAAGACTACAATGGAGAAACACTGACACTCACATAGAGATTTTTTTTACACACATTTTCATAATAAAATGTACATTCATTCACACCAAAAAATGAGATTTCATGAAAATATAAAATGTGTATTTCAGATTTGAACTGGCTGTAGGTACTATATTAATCACAATACACATATTTAATTACTCTACTCCCTTACAGACTTTTTAGAAATATCATCTTTCGTTCTAACACAGATTAACTTATAAACATCACACAGATTTATTACACGTATTTGACAACAATGCTAAAATGTGTTGTTAAGCTCTCAGTTTTTGGTAGCACCACATTTCACAGTGCTGTTCCTCATATAATGCACTTATTATAGTAATTACAATAATGTGTAATACTATATACTAACCTTAACCCATAGTTACCTTATATCACCAGCACATACTTGGACTGTCAACAAAATGTTAAGAAACTGTCAGCTTGGAATTTTGGAAATGTGTTTTGCTGGTAGCCATGCATGCAAAATATCAGAATTATGATTGAGTCACATAAATATAGTTGAATATAAGGGTTCATTCCCAGCTTGATTGATTCCACTCACTCTTATAACATGTTTAGTATTAAAGGAACAGATTCTGGCTGATTCAAGTGATCTCTTATTGAGGGACATTAGGTAAGTTCAGAGTGACAGACACATGTAGTGAATGCTGCACAACCTGCTCAGGAGGGGTTGCTCAGCTGTACGGCACGTGCTGGTTTACTGGGAAACGTGTGTCTTTGTCTGATTTTGACTATCAGCACTCATCTGTCTCCGCTTGATGATGAGCTCTGGTTATGCCAGTTTGAAAAAGGGAAAGAGAGCAGCTTCAGTTCCTCAAACGCAGGAAAACCCAGTGTGTGTTCAGTGCCGAGTCATTCAGACGCTCCGACTGGAGAGTGACAGGACTCATGACTGACTTTTGTGGATCTTCAAATAATCATCTGGCACGCAATGGGACGGCTAAACCACACGCGGACCCGCCGCTCATGGACAACTTCAGGAGGAAACTGAAATATTTCTTCATGAGTCCATGCCAGAAGTACAGAGCCAGAGGTCGGAAGCCGTGGAAGATGATGCTGCAGATACTCAAGATTGCCATTATTACCCTTCAGGTGTGTGATTTCATTCACCCCAGCACTGCGGATTTCTTACGTAGAGTTTTAACATGTTCATGTTGCTGTTTGAAAGCTCCAGTTCTTCTCTATATCAGTGTCAGTGTTTCTGAACGCCTGAAACGCCTCCATATACTACATTGAAGTTGAATGTGGACTATTGAAATAAAGTGTTACCTTTTGTATTTGATCACAGTTGGTCTTGTTTGGATTGAGCAACGAGATGATGGTCACCTTTAAAGAGGAAAATCTCATCGCCTTCAAACATTTATTCCTGAAAGGTTACAAGGACAGAAATAAAGATTACGCTTTGTACACAAGACACGAGGTGCATGACCACGTACTGTATGCAATCAGAAGGGTAAGTCCTGGAAAACACTCAGTGTGTTATAATCCAAACACTCAGGAGAAATACCACAACAAGGCAAACATAAAGAGAGACAGGTGCAAATCATAAGTATCCATAGAAACCAACAAGGACATAATCAGTTACCAAGGAAACGGGAACTAAATGAAACAAAAGTTGTGTAATATTCATTGGTGGACGACCGTACATGACGTCACAAGTATAGGCGGATCTTTTGTGACGTCATTGTTTACGTTTGTCGCGTTGCATTATGGGAATCGTGTGGCAGGAAACACCGCTAGACACCTGTAATTTGATTGTTTTGCACGTTTGGAGGAGGATTTAGAGAAGACGATGGTTCACTCTTGCTGTGTGGTCGATTGTACGGCTTGTTGGGGGCCTGATAATAAAGTTTTTCATTTCATTTTCAATAAATAAATAAATAAGAACACTGATCAATGTAGACTTACCCGGCTTTGCAGTCGCAGTGAGCAGTGATTATTTCTCTGTTCTGCGATCACCCACGGAAGATGCGAATCACGCTGTGACTTTGCTTGGCCAGGTCTAACCTCCCCAGACAGCAAACTGACATTGAATCAACGTGGAAACGACGTCTCTCATGACATTGAAACAACGTTGATTTGCTCATCGAATTAACGTTGAACCAACGTCAGACGCGGCATTCTTCAAAGCTAAATGAAAATCGAAAATTGGTTTGCTTTCATAACGTTGAAACAACGCGTTGATTTTAAGTTGATTTTCCGTTAGTTTTGAAAGAATGACGCGTCTGACGTTGGTTCAACGTTAATTCGATGAGCAAAACAATGTCAGATCAACATTGTTTCGATGTCATATTTCCACGTTGATTCAATGTCAGTTTGCTATCTGGGTCTGCTTTAACAGACTGATCTCATGAAATGGCGCATGAATAACACGCACGGCAATTCGTATTTCCAGCGCTTTTCAGCGTGTTTATGAACGCTGTTGACTTACATTAATGTATATATAAATATATGACCTAACCCTACCCATCACTGGGGTTAATAGCATTTATGAGTCTTCCCCTACCACCCTAGGAAAAAAAAATATCGCTCCCCAGATGTAGATCTACATTTTGATTCGTTTCGCTCGGACGTTTATAACGGCGTGTACATGCACGCATACACACATATCTCAAAATGCGTATAGATAACACGCCACTTGATTCGAAAGTGTCGGGTATGTATACGCAAAAGTCATGATGTCATGTTGCATCACTGCATCATGTTTGGCAGAAAAGATCGGCCCAACTTTTCGAGAAACAAAATAATCATAGGTCTCCAGACAGACTTTTGAAAGCCTTTAATCTTTCATGAGTGAAGGGTCCAGGGGTTTCTATTAAATAAGAATAAAGGTCTTCCCAGCAGATTATAGTGGCCAAGACACGGGCGAGTCGGACCAACGTTTTTTTGACATCCCAAATCACATATGGGCTTTGAATAACTTCGATTTTGTCACCAATACAAATTTTGAGCTTCTCTCCAAACCTCCTCCGGTCGTCAGATATTAAAGTGCTTATATATTGTGGATTTTGCCTGCTGACTCTCTTGAAAGTGCTTGTCGCGTCTTTACAGCCTTTACAGTTTGTTTTGTTGCCATGCAACCAATCGCGCATGCGTTCAAAGATGTCAACAAAGATCATCAGATTTTTTTGTTTTCACGGGCCGTTTTGCTTGTAGCTTGTGTAATCGGACATGAAATATGGATAAAGTAGGCAGCAAGTGCTAGGAAGTGTGTTCCCCTGTGTTTCCTTGTTTCATAACACCTGAGGAACCAGATCTTGGCATTGATTGCTTGTGTGTCTAGCACTCGCGGGTGTTTGATCGGCTCGCGCTGTATCTTCTCGAGAGATGAGCGTTACGCGTCTTCTCCCTGCGGTTGGGTCCAACACATCGTGGCGATCGCAGTCCTGGAAGAGACCGTAACCAACCCATATTTTCCCTTCTCCACATTCAAATTATTTAGATTCTTGATATGTGAGGATATCCCCTGTTGAGGCAATGGAGCGTCCCTCTCTCTCGTTTTCAGATAAAAGAGTTGACGACGTCTGCACTTGTGATGTCAGGGACTGTTGTCCACCAATGAACTTAGTATTGAACTTACTTCTGCTCTATTCCTCACGGATATGTTTAATAACGCACTATACAATGTTTCATTTCAGCACAACACAGTATTAATCTGCTAACATTTTAAATGTCTTCACAGGAGTGACTGAAATTGTTTGCATCTGATCAATCATCTGATTTGTTTGGTAGTTTCTTCACCTCCAAAACCTGACTGTGGATAATCACGCGTTCGAGAAGATGGACGACATGTTCACCCCTCTGTCCCTCTGCCAAGAGTTATATCGACACGCTGACCTTTCACCTGCCACCGAGTCCTTTCACATCGACCCACGTGTAGAGACAGGTCTGAGCCGTACTTATTGAGAAAAACATCAGAGTTTTACAGATATTATACAGTTACATTATTAGATGATGGGTCAAACACCGGATAGACATATAAACCACATTAAAAACTTGATTTTCACCACAGAGGGACTTTCTAGATTTATAGTTCACTGTTTTGTGCTTATTTGATATTAAATATATATATATATTTATATTTCAGAATGTATTTCTATTTATCCCATTTCACCCTACACAAATGAAGATTTGGAAAATGACATGAACCTCACTTTAGACTTTCAAAGGTGTGTACACTACGTTCTTCTTTGAAATACATACATAGAGTTTGTTATTCATGAAATTATATTTTTGTGATCCCCTCGCAGGTTGTTAGCATTAAAAATCTATTTTAAAATCAAAGCTATCAATGTTCAATCTGTACGACACCAAGAGCTCCCTGACTGCTATGACTTCAACATTAAAGTAAGCGTTGTTTCATTTTATACATTTTTGTCTGATAAAATTACATTTCAATATATCCTTAACATCCAAAAAAAGTTGGTTTAGAATTCAAAAAGGACATTTTTGTGAAAGTTTTTACTTCCCATAATCACCCAATTTCCAGGATTGGCTAATTGAGGTTTGACACATTTGGTCAAATGAAAGATATACGTTTTCCTCTTCTCCTTCTCCATTTTGTCAGAAGCTTTATTACTCAGTGTCATCTAGAGAAAGCTATTGTAGAGAACGCCTGACTCGATGCTGGTGGAAGTTAACTGGATAAAGTGTGTAACCTTCTGTGTTTGATTACAGATCATGTTTGACAACAGTGCACACAGTGGGAAAATCAAGATCTCTTTAAGCACTGGTGTACAGATAAAGGGCTGTAAGGACTGGAATGTTTCTGACTCAAGTAAGCTGATTTTCTGACACCATGTAAAAAAAAAAAGTCAAAATACTATTAAATTAAACATAATGTTTTGCTTGAATAAGCATCTTTTCTGTGCACTCTCGGAAAAAAAGGTACAAAAGCTGTCACTGGGGCTGTACCCTTTCAAAAGGTACACTTTTGTACCTAAAGGCTGCATATTGGTATCTTAATGGTACATATTAACACCTAAAATGTACATATTAGCACCTGAAATTCACATATTAGCACCTAAAATGTACATATTAGCGCATAAAATGTACATATTATCACCTAAAATGTACATATTAGCACCTAAAATGTACATATTAGCACCTGAAATTCACATATTAGCACCTAAAATGTACATATTAGCGCCTAAAATGTACATATTTTCACCTAAAATGTACATATTAGCACCTAAAATGTACATATTAGCACCTGAAATTCACATATTAGCACCTAAAATGTACATATTAGCACCTGAAATTCACATATTAGCACCTAAAATGTACATATTAGCACCTAAAATGTACATATTAGCACCTAAAATGTACATATTAGCACCTGAAATTCACATATTAGCACCTAAAATGTACATATTAGCGCCTAAAATGTACATATTTTCACCTAAAATGTACATATTAGCACCTAAAATGTACATATTAGCACCTGAAATTCACATATTAGCACCTAAAATGTACATATTAGCACCTGAAATTCACATATTAGCACCTAAAATGTACATATTAGCACCTAAAATGTACATATTAGCACCTAAAATGTACATATTAGCACCTGAAATGTAAATATTGGCACCTAAATGTACATATTCACTCTTAAAATGTAGACATTAGCACCTAAAATGGACAAAAGTTTACCTTTTGAAAGAGTGTGGCCATCATATCAGATGCAGTAGGGGCAATATATACCCCCCTCACATTTAGTCACCTAAAAGTATTCCTGTAGCAGTGCCATAACGAGATGACTGTCTAAAGGTGTCTAGTTTTGCTGTGTTTGTTCCAGCAGACAGTCACTTCCGACTCATCGTTCTGTTTGACTGTGTGGTCATCGGCTCCTGCTTGCTCTCGCTCGTCCTCTGCACACGCTCAGTCTGCACCGGCGTCCTCCTGCAGTTCGTAAGTCTCTCGTCTGGCGCACTAAGCAAAGCCACTGAGCAAATCAAGCCCATAAAAGCACTGTTCTATTCTATTCTATTCTATTCTATTATGTGCTGTAATCTATTCACAGCTAGTGGCTGTAAAAGCACACGACAAACGAGATCTTTAAACAAAACAATAAACAGGACAATAACTCTGAGGAAACACAACCATGTAGAAACATGGGAGTCGAAACAATCCAGGACAAGGAACCAGAGCGCTTAAATACATGGGGCAAACAAAGGTGCTGATGAATAAATCAATGTGAAGATAAATCAATGAAACACATGGGAAAACATGTTTGTGGAGCACAAAATCAAAATGAACGTCTTCTAACTTTATCTTGGGAGTTTAACTTAAAAAAGAGGCTCACATTAACTGAGTTGTACTTCCCTTAGTTAGTGATTATGTTCACCTGTTGCTCATTTAGTTGCCTCGTTACTCCATGTGGATTTAAGCTCTTAAGGTGATGTTGCTTGGCCACTTTCCTATTGAGAACAGCCAACAGATTTCTGTCTGGATACTTAATTGGATTGTGTCTCTCCTGGTTGCTGTATCATCACCTTTAGTTTCCTCAGTTCACTGCTCTGGGTTGTTTCAGTTTGCGTGGTTGTCTATATATTTTCTGTGTCTCCTGAGATTTGTTATTATAGACTGTTCTTTTGGATATATTCATTGTGCGCTTACTACAACCACCAACCCAAACACAAACCTCCACTGGCATTAAGATTAGCACAAAAATAATAATATAATAATAATAATAATAATAAAAACATTAAGCCTAAATTAAGAAAAAATCAAACAAAACAAACAAACAACAAATCACCAACCTCAAACTTAAGAAAAAACTAATCAGCAGCTGGGATGTGTAACAATATGTTGATAGTCATACGCATGTTATTAACATGTCATACACATGTTTCCTCTCCTCAGGAGTACGCCACGTTTATGTCCATTCACCACAGTAAAACAGTCTCCTGGTCCGAGAGGATGGAGTTTATCAACGGCTGGTACATTCTCGTCATCATCAGTGATACGCTGAGTATTGCGGGTTCAATCCTCAAAATATGCATACAGAGCAAGGTGAGCAAGATTATGCTTTTTCAAAGATCACCTTCCATAATATATAACTGTTTGTATATATAACATATATACAATATACTGTATATATATATAATATAAAACCGTTTATAATCTGCCAAATTTCAGAGCTCAAAGTGAAGTTATTTTATCCCCAAAAGAAAGAAACTATTCTGAACTGAACCCAGTTTCACTTCCTGTTCGAACCTACGTAGTTTTGTTACAGATTAGCATAATCCAAGCTTACTTTGACCCTCGAGACTGGAAGAGTTTGGCTTGTGATGTTCATGTGGAGTAGATGTGAAGCAAATACACTTTTATTCATTTCCAAAGAATGAGACTGATAAAACCGACACCATTATTACTGTCAGGGTAGACCAATCACAACAGAACACTGAGTCATCTGACCAATCAGAGCAGGGTAGACCAATCACAACAGAACACTGAGTCATCTGACCAATCAGAGCAGGGTAGACCAATCACAACAGAACACTGAGTCATCTGACCAATCAGAGCAGAGTAGACCAATCACAACAGAACACTGAGTCATCTGACCAATCAGAGCAGAGTAGACCAATCAGAGCAGGCTATCTGAAAGGGAGACTGTTTCACACACTTTGGGAAAAGAGGTGTTGCTGCAGTAAATTTTATGAGAATATTAAATGAGTTGATGCATGTAAACCTATGGGAGACAACCAAAACAAATGACAAATTTGTCAAACCACACCCAGGTGAAAAAGACGTACAATTAAGTGTATTAAAAATGCATTACATTATATTTGTATTGTACTAAAAACATATTTAAGTACATTTTTAATACACTTAATTGTACGTCTTTTTCACCTGTCTCCTCATCAGATTAGCAGGAGTTTAGATGTTAATGTAACTGTCCTGTGTCCAGGAGCTGACGAACTATGATGTGTGCAGTATTCTGCTGGGAACCGCAACCATGCTGGTGTGGATTGGAGTGATGCGTTACCTCAGTTTCTTTCAGAAGTATTATGTAAGCTACTCATTTATTCCGTTTTTCATGTGTAATCAGTTGATATAAGGCAAAAAAGTTCCTCACATTAACCAAACACAGAACGTTCCCGAATGGTTCCCATTATTTATTTTGGGAACCAAACAAAAACGTTATAGGAACGTTCCATGTAGGTTATTTTTAGGTTCCATTTTTATAACGTAAGAAAAACGTTCCGGGAACCAAAAACTAACGTTCCCAGAACCTTAATTTGTTTGCTAAGGGGCAAGTTTTCAAATTGAGTAATTCTATTGTATTGATTTTATTGTTATATTTTGTGTAATGTTTAGCTTGAAAGGTGTCTATCTACGTTCACTACGTTCAGTATGCTCGTCTCGTGACGTGTGTGTGTGTGTGTGTGTGTGTGTGCCGCAGATCCTCATCCTCACACTGCAGGCCGCTCTGCCCAGTGCCGTCCGCTTCTCCATGTGTGCGGTCATGATCTACCTCAGCTACTGCTTCTGCGGCTGGATCGTGCTGGGCCCGCACCACGAAAACGTGAGTCAGACACCCAATCAAGATGTCTCATTTGAAGCCCTATATTACTATTATATTCCACATTTACATGCTTATAATATCCTCATATTATTATATGTACAGTGTTTTTCCATCCTAATTAAATTACTAACTACACTAACTTGCTTCAGAAAACAATGCTGTTTCGGATGTGCATGTTTCCTGTGCTGACTTTTGTACTTCCTGTCTCGGGTGCCATGTTTGTAGTTCTTTGTAGTTTTTTTCTCATTGAATGTCTCACCCAGGTTTGGCATGTGTATAAATAGCCCTTGTGTTTCCTTTGTCAGATGTGGATGTGTTTGTCACTTATGTTGGCAAATTAGTCCTTGCACTTAGATCTGTGCCTTCCTTTCCTCTATCCCAAAGTAACAATCGCATATAAAATGTCCCAAACTATGTAATCTCAGCCACACGTATAAGCAGTTTTAAGCCTAATGAACTAATAAAATGAAGCTTTCTTCTCAGTTTCGGACATTTAACCTGGTCGCGGACTGCCTGTTTTCCATGATTAACGGGGATGAAGTGTACTCTTCCTTCAAGAAGCTGCGGGACAAGACCTATGTGGTGTGGCTGTTCAGCAGAATCTACATCTACAGCTTCATCTCACTCTTCACCTTCATGGTGTTGAGCCTCTTCATTGCCATCATTCAGGACACGTATGAAACCATCAAGGTGAGTTTATTCAAGCCTGCAACTCGCGTATGACACTCAGCAACACCACTGCAAGTGAAACTGGAGGTTTTCCGGATATATTGTAAGCCTGTCACCACAATGCAGTGGTTTGGTGGTGAGTTGTTTTTGCTGCTAACACACTGATACTGTGTCTGAAAGCGGAGCTGGCTTGTTCCTAAGGCTCATGTTAAGAAGTATTTTTCATGTTATGTGCTGCCGAAGTTTAATAGTTAGCTTGCATTCGTTTGGGAAGCTGATAGCTGATGTTAGCAATGAAATGGTACCAAAATAACGAAAACGTAAAACTATTATTCGTTTTACATATTCCTCGTTTCCACCAAATAAGAAGTGGTTTGGAACTGGTGCCGGTTCAAAGTTGGTTCGACTAGCTAACTTTCTCGCAACCGGTTTGTTTTTCCACTGACGTCGTTACGTCACCGTGTATGTCCTACGCTATCTCACGACCAATTCGTATGAGTGATTCAAAAGTGGCTAATTCGTACTAATTCATACGACCTCACTCGTACGAATTCGTACGATTTGTCTAAACCCACGTGACGGTTATGTTTAGGGGCGGGGTCAGGGGTAGGTCATTCGTACGAATTCATACGAATTCATAAAATATGCACGATTTAGCAAAATTGTACTAATTCGTACGAGTGAGGTCGTACGAATTGTTACGAATTAGCCACCTCGTAAAATTCGTACGAATTCCTGTGAGATCGGGTTGGTATGTCGCCATACGTCTTAGCTTTCCCATTCCCGCCGTGTTGCTGGTCACAACAGCCCCGCCCCCTACGTAAGCATGACGTGGTAAAAAACGGTCTTTCAAAATGCCTTTGGTGGAAATAGAGCTCATAACCTACATGTTAACTGAGTAAATAACTAAATGCAATTTATAATAGTTTACTAAAGTAACCTCATTAAAGTGCTTTAAGGAACACTCATGGACGAAGCCATGTTAATCTGTGAATAATACAGCTACCGTACGAGTTAAAAGAGTAGAAACCCAGACAGCAAACTGACATTGAATCAACGTGGAAACGACGTCTCTCATGACATTGAAACAACGTTGATTTTGCTCATCGAATTAACGTTGAACCAACGTCAGACGCGGCATTCTTCAAAGCTAAATGAAAATCGAAAATTGGTTTGCTTTCATAACGTTGAAACAACGCGTTGATTTCAAGTTGATTTTCCGTTAGTTTTGAAAGAATGACGCGTCTGACGTTGGTTCAACGTTAATTCGATGAGCAAAACAATGTCAGATCAACGTTGTTTCGATGTCATATTTCCACGTTGATTCAATGTCAGTTTGCTATCTGGGAAGTAATATTCAGTTGGTAATCATACAATTTCACCACTAGATGGGAGAAAATCTCACACAGTGTAGCTTTAATGCGATCCGGACGCTCATTTGCACAAAACTGTGGCAGTTTGAGATGTTACAAGCCCCTTAAAAAATGTGTAATGGTAGTCCATTTCTGGTTGTGGAGATTAAAGCGGAGGAAAACCGAGGAAAACGGGATTATGGCAGAGTCTTCAATATTTACTGTCCTCCCGTCTTTGAAACGAAACGTTTTGATGTAATTTTATATGTAGTTATGTTTATTTAATATAATTTTAAAAAGAAGCATAAACACAACGAGGGGTGTCTGTTTTATCTGTTTTTGTGACTAACGTTTCTTTAGTATAACCATGGAGTATAAAATTCAATATAAATTCTCGGTATTGGATTGGACTCTATGATCGGCGGAAGTTATCGAGCATCCTTGCACCTTCACCGGAAATACCGCCGTGCATAGAGCCCATACAGGAATATCACTTCCGCGTATATCCACGCGAACGGGAACAATCCTGTCAGCGTTTGCTCTGTCCCGAGGTAAAGGGAAACTAGTTCACACAGTAGCAGAATCTGTTCAGTCCCAAACAAACACTGACTGCTGTGATGCTAATGCTAATCTCCATCATCACTTCTCTGTCTTTAACCACAGCACCACCAGACGCGAGGAGAACCGCTGTCAGAGCTGCAGGCGTTCGTCGCTGAGTGCCGGGATACACCGGACTCGGGGAAGTACATGATGGATGAAGAATACTCCTCCTCCTCCTCCTCCTCGTGCGGCGCGTGCGCTCCCGGTCTCTGCTGCTCCTGACGCGCGCTCACCAGAAGACTCGCCCACACGGACGGATGGAAGATTGAGAGCCAAGAGCTTTTTCGATGTAATATAATAAGATGACTCATGTGTTTTTATACTATGTAGAATGTATTATATTTGGTTCCCAAAGATGGGCATACATGAAAATGATAAAAATACAACGTTACCTCAGGTGAAAAGAATCAAATCCAATGAAGTATCACTAATCTGTCTGGATCTATTCTGAATGCAAATAGTATGTTGGTGTGTAAGACCTGAGAAGCGTTTGCTGTCATTACCTTCACTTTTTCAGGTCCAGTAGGAGATTACACACACAAAAACCCATCACCATCTACATCTGTAAATGAACTGACTCAGTCACTAGAGCTGCTTATTTCCACATTTACTCAACCGAATCAACAGAACTGACCTAGGATGAATAAAGACACTATTGTTGAAGTTTGCATCATTGATCATTATTTTCTGATCTGATTCTGCTATGAATCCATCTTTATTGCTTAAAGTGCTATAAAACGTCGACGGAGAGGCTTCAGTACACCGGATAACTGCTTTTGTGGAGAAAGTAAACACAGCACTTAAAGTACACTTTTCAAAAAACTTTTGCTGATAATTTACTCAACCCCATTTCATCCAAGATGTCAATGTCTTTAAGTTTTATAAGCTCAAATGCTCGCATTGCTCTGTTCTGTGATGCGCGTTCGTGACTCTCCTGTTCATCAAAATGAACGAATCTTTTTCAGAGTCATTTGGTTCATTCAACGTACGAAATGAACGAATTGATTCGGGAAAAGGTTTGTTCATTTTGATAAGACCCTTATTCATCGTCTGGTGTCGTTTAGAGCCCTTTGAACAGTTTGCACTGAAACTGTCTTTTGGACCTTGAACCGTTTGGTTCCCATTGAAGACCATTATATGGAGAAAATCCTGGAATGTTTTCATCAAAATTTCTGGAGAAAATCCTGGAATGTTTTCATCAAATTAATTTCTTTTCGACTGAAGAAAGAAAGACATGGACATCTTGACATGGGGGTGAATAAATTATCAGCAAAAGTTTTTTTTTTTTAAGTGAACTACTCCTTTAATATACTCATGTCTGCTGATTTTTAATGTATTTTGAGGTGAGATATTGTGCACTGGAAATATTTGCTGTATTAAAATTCACTGTTCATTTACATGAAGTTTACAACACTTCTGATTCACTTCTAAGGCTGTCCCAATTTTGTTATTTAGGGTGTGTTACGTGCCAATAAATCCTGTTATGCATAATGTCTTGTTGTCATATTTATTTATTGCACTGTTTGCACACTTACATCTCTATGAGGTTAAGAACGCATGCGCAGAAGTGTTTTCTTGACCCAAGGAAGCATTTTATAGACTTTTTAATTCATTTTAAAGCTGTTTTGTTCAGCGGGGTGGAGCCCATGATCAGGAGCCCAAGTCATTTTCACTTTAAATGCCATTTTCTTCAAGAACAAGTGCTAAAACCTCACGGCATCTAAACATTTAGCTGGGATCTGTGTAAATGTGTTCTTCTAAAGAGCCAGTAGATGTCAGTATAATACATCACATCACTTTCACTGTATTGATAGCTATATTTTCTCTATTTTAAGGTTTGTGATCCACTGACGTAAATGTAAGTTATATATGTGGCTGGATGGAGACCATTTATCGACGAAGAAGCTTATATGTTGTGTAAACAATATGCAAACAAAGGAAAACTCCTGCAAACCTGTGTCTGATCCTCACTAGACTCAGCGTGCGGTGTATGGAGGCCCTGGGGGGACACACTTATTAGATGGGGGAGGGGGATTCAAAACGCGTTCCTGTGTTTCCTATGGGACGTCCTACAGCGCTCGAGACAATGACATTAAAAGAGCAAACTCATTAGGATAAACACCATAATAAAAAAGCTTACAACATGAGCGTATGGTGAGAGAAAGCAATTGTGTGTGTCACTTCATTAAGGCTGTGTGAAATATTTCTCCCTCTGTTTATGACTACAGACACAATGCAGTGATTTATGAGTACAGATTTATTTCCAAATAAACATGCCTGTGTTTTATTCATAGCAACACATTTTGTCTTTTTGAATTATATCACTGCTGGTCCATAATTTATGAGTGCACAACATAAAACAACTAATGTTTTCTTTCCTGAAATTGAAAGTCATCCTAAATATTTGAACAATATTTTTTGGATAAATTCATCTTTATTTATTTTATAATTGATAAATTAACAAAAGAAGAGTGAATTAAATAATAAATGAAAAGGTAGGCTACATGCAAATGTAAATAAATAATATATAAATATATTAATTTATAAATATTAATATATAAATAATTAATAAATATATATATATATATATATATATAAATAATAAAAAATAAATCTCAAAAATACAAGACCTTTGTGTCAATCAAATATTATATAAATGTATATCATCATGAATGCGATTTTTCTTGTTTTTTTTTTGGTTTGTTCCAACGGTCAGACATGTATTTATCATTGATTCCAGAAAGAATTTTTTTTTTTTTTTTTTTTTAAACATTCTTCCTAGTTCAGATTTCATCCGTGAACTTCATACGCTGCACAAAAGTCCGCCACCATCAATGAATTCGACGTAAAGGCAGAGATAGCAGCGTTACCTAGCTACTTCCTATGACAAGACCCCTGTTCCAAGATGGCGGCAGTTTTGACGCATGCTTAGAACCCCCAGGTGAGGTCTAGTGTATATTTCTATGACAGGCAGGTAGGACAGATAATCCAGCCAATGAAATGGCGAGGTGCTGGTTGCCTGACAACCGGCTGGCCAATGAGTGTCGTGCTTGTTTATGTTGAGGAGCGGAGGTGCGCTTCAAACATCTCCTGCGCTCCAGGGCAGGTGGAGGGCACTCGCACTGCAGTCTCTCTCACACACACACCTCACACACACCTCACACACACTCGATCGGGATCTTTCTGATATAAATCTAGCCAGTCCAGCACGCGAGCACATGCTTATCTGTCTGGATCCGCGGAGCTGGATCTGATGTAAGTCAACATGTGTGTGTGTGTGACTGTGTTACTAGCGTTGTGCTAAAGTTCAGACCCGGGCTGTGTCTCTAATGTCGTGTGTGTCCCACATAGACTGCGTGTCTAGTGGCGAATGTACGTGTTCCAACCCGCCTAGAAATGCTGTCTAGGTAGAGAACTGACACAGAGCACTGAACGCTAACTTAGCTAACGGTCATTCAGTGAAAATAAACATGTTATTTTTCTAGCAAGTTAAGTTAGTTAATGTTGCATTGAGAACTGAGAATATTGGATTAGATTGGACGAGTGCAGATTTCTGAAGCAATGGTGTTTTTAAATAGATATGTATCACGATAGATATGAGTTAGTTTTCTTTGCATCAATGTCATTTTTGTTTTCATTTGATTTTGACTGTGAGGAATACATTGGATGTGGTCTGCTATTGGTGGATCTCATGTGAGTGACAGGTTGCCCCGCCCTCGCGCCAGTAAACACGTCATCATCAGAGATGAGAAATCTGAGGGAAGTTATTTTGTTTTAAAGGAACACTCCGACTTTTTGGGACTTTAGCCTATTCACCTTACCCCCCAGAGTTAGATAAGTCCATACATACCTTTTTCATCTCCGTGCGTGCTATAAGTCTGTTTGACGCACCCACCGCTAGCCTAGCTTAGCACAAAGACTGGATGTGAATGGTTGCAGCTTTCATACTAATCCAAATGAGTGACAAAATAACGCAAACGTTTTCCTATTTACATGTTGTGGTTTGTATAGTCACAGAGTGTGCAAATATCAAGGCCATATGAGACACAGACATCTTTTAACCGAATAAATACTATATTTTCTGAAGGGGAAGCACTGCTACTTGGGCAGAGTGATAACAATCACCTGAGACGCACCGTGACGAGGAGCAGAGAGTTCGCTTCGCTCAGCGTTGGAATAAAGAGTCAGCAATTACTAACGTTAGATAGAAAAGCAAAGTTTATCACGGGTGTTTGCTTTATTGTATGAGCTGTGACAATAAACAGGGGAGACCAGGTAATACAGTACCATTTTTCATTGATTTCCAACCAAAAACGCACCCAGATTTATAAATATCACATGAATAAATAATTATTATTACAGGAATCAATATATTTTAAATGCAATTTATTAGCTGAACCAAATGTATTCAACAGTAGCCTATATAATATACAGTATTGCATTACTATAGGATAGAATAAGGGGAAAGTAATAGCACAAATTGTTTTTGCACAATGAACTCACAGCCTATCGTACCCTTTTGCACGCTCAAGTTCGTTATTTCCATGGTTATTTCAAATTTAGGCTACTAGGCGCGCCGCGCGCAGGGTGCAAGTTCAACGCGGTGAACGCGCTCGTTTTTTTTTCCAAGCGCGTCCGCACCGCATCAAGATAAAAACATATTCATACCCTAATCATATAATAGTGTCACTAACGTTACATTAGCTCTGGCTAATGGCACTGTTACAGTAGGTCATCTAAAAACATAACGGAACACTTACCTCAGCCGCAGGTGATCCTTGTCCTGTCTGTGCTATCGATGGGATGGCCGTATCCTTCAGCACATTATGGTCCGTGTGGCAAATTACATTTTTTCAAAATAGTCGTCCTCATTGAAATGTACCGAGCAAACATAATGTCCCTTGATAATCTTAGGTGTGTTTGGATAAATATCCAGAGTAAGTTAGCCATTTCTTCATCCAGTCAGCGTTTTTAGTTGGAATTCTGTGAAACATGGTATTACCTCCCCTGTTCACAGTCGCAGCTATTTACAATAGAGCGAAAACCCATGACTCTAAACTACGCTTTTACTATTTATAAATTGCTGACTCTATTACCCAAACACCGAGCGAACTCTCCGCTCCTCACCACGGCGTGTCTCCGGTGATGCGGTTATTACGCCGTCAAAGTAGCAGTGCTTCGCCTTCAGAGAATAGTTCCCAGGTTTTATACGGTTAAAAGATGTCTGTGTCTCATTTGACTTTGTTATTTGTACATTATGTGACTATACAAACCACAACATGTAAATAGGAAAACGTTTGCGTTATTTTGCCACTCATTTGGATCAGTATGAAAGCTGCAACCAGTCACATCGAGTCTTTGTGCTAAGCTAGGCTAGCGGTGGGTGCGTCAGAGATGAAAAAGGTATGTATGGACTTATCTAACTCTGGGGGGTAAGGTGAATAGGCCAAAGTCCCAAAAAGTCGGAGTGTTCCTTTAAGATTACAGGCTGTTATACGATTTTACCATAACCTTTTAGGATCTTACTTTATACATATTATGTATTAATATCATGTAGGTATATATATATATTGACTATTCAGTCTGGACTATTTTTAAAAAATGAACCCTTTAAACCGCTCGTGCCATGAGAATAGTCTCAGCTGCGGATGTGGAATAAAAATCTCAATTAATATTCTTAATATATAACCTTAATCTTCTAAATAAAACGCAAAAAGCAACTTTTTTCTTTGGTTTAACATCATTGCAGTTACTGAAAGCAAACTACAGTTTGAAACATGAAATGTCTCCAAGCATAGAGGATTAATTATTAACTTGTTGTTTCACTCATATCTGTAAGCTATGCCATGAACGTTGTGTCTTGAAAAAGGCTGTTG